TGTTTGTTGGCTTGTGTAGCTTGCCCCCTAGGTTTGAGGTGAATGTTGGTTCACTTTGCCTGTTGTTTTCTCAGGTTCGAGGTTGAGTGGGACTCCCTTGCCTCGCTTGTACTGCTGCATTGCATGCATTTTACTGTATTTGCTTGCTTTCTTTTCTATTTATCCCCTAGGATCTCTGATTTCCTCTGTGCAGGAGGGAATTATGGAAGACATTAGGATTCTTATCCATGCATGACAACATTAGGTTAGTTTTTATTCCCTTTTCAACCCTAGGTTTTTTAGAGCTTCTTTCTCTTCTTATCTCAAAACAACTCAAAAACACAGTAATAAGGTTAATCGATGTCGTACGTTACGAGCCTTAAGCTATTTGAGAAAGGGTTGTTGGAGAGCTTCTTTCCAATAGTCTGGCTGCTTAATGTGGCACCCTTTGGGTGACACGCGACGTAGTCACTCTCAAATCATAGTCTCTAGTGCGTCAGAGATTGCAAACAAACTAAAAACACTTCTTTCGTAAAAGATTCAAAACAAACATCAAAGTGTCATTTTTGTCCGCTTGGACTCTTAATCAAGAAAAACCCTTTCATAAGGTAATAAAAAAAACAATCAGACAAGCTTGTGTCTTCCGTAGCCCGAACTACGTTTGCTCTGATCTTTCATGCTGTATGAAAGTACGTAGGCATAGGATGCCGTATCCTAGCGAGCAACCTTCCCCTCCTTTCCCGTAGATAGGCGAACTACGTTGACTCTGATTTCTCATTCCAGACGGGAATACGTAGGCATAAAGTGTGATACTTTGCCGAGTCATTTTCTTTTCTTTTTAACCCAGACCTCTAGAGTAGATAGAATAACAATCCGTACTAGAAAACAAGCGTGGATCCCGTCGAGTACGGCGGACGTGAGGGGTGCTAATACCTTCCCCTTACGTAATCGACTCCCGAATCCAGGAATTTGGTTGCGATGACCATTCCTTTCCCGTTTTGTGTTAGGTTTACTCTGAGCGTTTCCTTTCCCTCCGTTGGGATAAATAACGCACGGTGGCGACTCTTCTGTCATTGCCGGCGCCGATTTTCGCAGTAGCGACAAGATCAAATAATACTCTTTCTCTTCATCCCTTAATCAAAAAATTTGTCTTAAATTATAAATTATTTAACAATTTTAATATAATATTAATGATATTTTCTTTAATATACTACCTATCATTTATTATTATTTCTTCTTTTAATTCTTTAAATTATAAAGGACAATTAGGGATAGCAAAGTGGGCGGCCCCCGTTTTGACCAATCCCGTTTAAACCCGTCCAAAAGCAGAGTCGAGCGGGACAGACCAACTTAGATGTTCGAGCTCAAAAGGCAAGTTTGCCCTGTTTACTAACGAGTTGGCGAGTTGGCGGGTCGGTATGTTTAATTTATTATTTTACAATTTGATTTACTACATAATTTACAAAAAAACTATTTATTACTTAAGAGGTCGACAATTTTTTTTAACAATGCATAACAGAAATTCAACATGTCTTAAGTCCAAACAGTTCAACAAAAAAAATAAAGACCAATTACAAAAAAAATAGCAAAATAAACTCAAGCGCAATAAAAAACGTATCAAAATAAAAAAATAAATAAACAATACATATTATTCCAATCCTATTTAAAAACTAACTACTAAAAGAACCCAAATAAGAATTTACAAAAGACAAACAAAGATGACAGTTACACTGCATAAACATCAGACTGCATAAAATAGTAGTGCATAAAATATCAACACATGACTTTCTCACTATTTACATTATATAGACTCTTATATTGATTGATTCCTTAATAGTTAAATCTTAAAGTTGTCACACGTATACAATAATCAAATACTTCCTTTTCTTAAAATCAACATCTATTTCTAAAGAAAATATGTGAGCTAATGTTTGACAACTTAATAATTCAGCATGTTATACAATTGTTTTTTTATTTCAAGTTTTTCTAATCAACACATGTATTAGAAAGTTATAGAAAGAATGTTACAATTATAATTTAATTTGTTTGTATAATAATTTATAATACAATTCAATCAACATAATTTTAAGAGAAAAGTGTTGTTTTTATAGTTAAAGTTGTTTTAATTTTAAGTAAAAAAAAATAAAAAGTTTTAACAAAAAGTCTGCGGGCAAAGCCCGCTCCCGCCTCAGCCCGTTTTTTCAAGCGGGTTAAGCGGGACGGACCAACTTAAAATACCGAGTCAAAAACCTCAGCCCATCCCGCCAAAAATAGCGTGTCAAACGGGCCGACCCGGCTGTCCCGACCCGTTTTCCCACCCATAAGGACAATATTATAAACTCATATATAATTTTTCTTTCTCATACAATATTAATCATGTTTCTTAATTCGTGTGAAATGTTTAAAACGTCTTATAATTTGGGACGAAGGGAGTATATCGTAGATACTAATAAAATTAACTTTTAGTAATTTATTTTTATCGTATAAATCCTGTTGAAAATTCACCAAAACCTATAGAACATTCCGCTGCAATCTTGATAAACAAAACTCAATCACACTATTTTTATCTTCTTTGGTGCATCATTAAGACTCTACTACTCTTGTATAATTTGATACCACAGAAGTATGAGAGGTTTCCCAAGTCTGACATTTCAAACTCCTCACTTAAGTCATTTTTGAAATTTTTGATCTCTTTCTTGTAACTTCCTGTTATCAACTGATAATCGAGATAGAGACATAGTATAAACAATTCACTATAGATCTTCTTACATATACTCCATGCTTAATTATGCACTTCACAAATTCCTTCTTCCTTAGAAAGTTATCTATCTTCTTATACCAAGCTCTTGGAGCTTGCTTAAGTCCGTACAGAGCTATATGCAACATGTATACCTTGCTTTCTTCGCCTTGTTTCACAAATCCAACTGGCTGTACAACATGAACTTCTTCATATAAGGGGTCATTCAAGAATTCACATTTCACATTCATCTGACATATGTGCCAGTTGTTCATATTTGTTAGACCAACAACCAACCTAATTTTTTCAATTCTAGCAACATGTGCAAAAACTTCATCAAAGTTGATTCCTTATTTCTGAAGAAATCCTTTCGCCACAAGTCTTGCCTTGTGTCGAGTTACTTCTCCTTTAGGATTCAACTTCATCTTGTATACTCACTTCACATCGATTTCCTTCTTGCCCTGAGGCAATTTGACAAGTGACCAAGTGTTGTTGACTTCGATGGACTTCAGTTCCACATTCATCACTTACTTCCACTTCGAATCCTTCACTGCCTCATCCGCATTTACTAGCTCGACATATTCATAGAAAGCATAGTGTATCATTTCACCTTCATCATCAATTATATCATCTGATGTAATCACACATTCTTGCAACCTTACAGGCATGTGTCTCATTCTTTGAGGTCTGCTTGTGCTTGCTTGACCTCTAACTTCTTTCCGAATTTTTCTTTCGACTTCACTTGCTAGTTCTTCGCATAGGATTCTCACTAAATCCTTCTTGACATTTTCAGTCCAATTTCATTCCTTAAGCTCATCTATGATAACTTCCCTGCTGATCACTACTTGCTTGTTCAATAAGTCGAACAATTTTTATCCTCCATATGAATGATTCATTTGACTCGATTTATCGTCAAGTTTTCTTCTCAACTGATCTGACACATGTGTATGTGCTATAGATCCAATACTTTCAAATGACTCAAGCTAGGTTTGACACCAGATCATCATTCTTCTAGCATGATTCCTTCTAGCCTTTTTGTCGGACATTTGTTCCAAATATATGTTGCACTCGACACAGTTTCTCTCCATAATTATTTGGGTAGATGTTTGTCTTTCAACATAGTTCTCACTATATTCATGATGCTTTTATTCTTCCTTTTTGCAGTTCCATTCTGCTGTGGAGTGTAAGGTAGCATCACCTCATGCACAATCCCTTATTTCTCACATAATGTGTTGAAGTCTTTCGACATATATTTTCTACCACCATCAATCCTTAAAATCTTGAGCTTTCGACTACTTTGTCTTTTAATGATAGAATCCCTTCTTCCATCGGTCCTTAGAATCCCTTCTTCCATTCTGCTGTGAAGTCTTTCATTTTTAATTTTCAAAAATATTTTCTTTGAATTTTAATCCTCTTAAAAAATTTTATTCACACTAATGATCATTTTTTATTAACTTCCTTGAAAGTTATTTTTATTAAGATGATTCCTTGATATATGGTGGATTGTCAACGTGACAATACCTTAAAAAGAAAATTATACAAAAATAAAAATTGAAATTTAAAAAATGAATTATTATAATTCATCATTTTCTTCAAATAAATTTAAATTTTAGTCACATTTTTCAATTAACTCTTAATTTTTCAGTCTTTAAAGAAAAGGTCTGTGTAATAAATTTCTCTAAAACATTTTGTGGAACAACTATTAGACTCTGCAAATAGTTCTCTTCCCATAAAAAATATATATACTACCAAGGCTTCTTAATTGGCCTCTGTTAATATATTATAGACATTGATGAAGTTACTTTTTAGTAAACTATTTTTATTGTCTATGTTTGCAACACACCAAAAGAAAAATATATTAGGGGATTTTGAGAGAGGAAAATTTTTCAATATATGCTTTTGTTATTTAACCAAATCTAATATTTTGTTTTGATGTTCCTCTTGAGTCTTGACCAAAATGTATCTTTAAACTTTAGTGACATTATGTGCGTCTTTGCCAAACTATCTAGAAAAACTCTTCAAGAGACTCGTTCACTTAATTGATCTAAACCTAAAAACCCATTTATATAATGACACTTTAGACTTCTAAGTATGAAAATGTTCCATATAACCGAGTCATACTTTCCAGCATCCTTTATGGTAAAGTAACAGAATTAGATTGAAATTTTAAGCCCAAAAATCTTATTAATTTGCTAGTTATGGTTGAATAAGGTTTTATATAAACCCATGCAACTAGAATTCATCATCAACAAATCATAGGTACAAAACCACAACTTAATTAAAGATGCAGCAAAATCATGTGTCTAGAGTTTTCATGCAAGGATTTATCTTCCTTGTGATTGCTTCATTGGCTTCAGGATCAGGAAGCAAGGCCAGTGCTAGAAGAAGCATCTTGGTTGGAGACTCTGAAGGTTGGCGTGCTGGCACTAACTACACCCGATGGGCCATCAAAAATAGTCCATTCCGCGTAAATGACACATTAGGTACGTAACATTGACATTTTAGGTCAAATTTATCATGACACTGTAATATATACGTTTATGTGTCTGGATCCTGTCAGTGTCCGTATCTGTGTCAGTATATATTAATGATTGATTGATTTTGGTTTGTGAATACATAAATGCAGTGTTCAAGTTTCCTCCCCCGGGCAATTCGACCATTGTTCCGAGTGTTTACTTACTACCAAACATGTGGAGCTACATGACATGCGAATTTAGAGGAGCAAAGTTGCTAGGGAGTGCAGTTCAAGGTGTTGGAGAGGGTTTAAAGATTGAGCTGAATCAGTTGAAGCCTTACTATTTTGCCTCTAATGAAGGGAATGCCTATGATTGTATTGCTGGACTCACCAAGTTCGTTGCAGTTCCATCCACTCGTTCCTTTTAGTTTAGCCCAAGTTGTTTCTCACCCTCATGTCATGGTCCAATTAAATATAGTTGAATTCGAAATATGCAAATAAAATGGATGGTGTCAATCTGTTTCTCGTTCATGTAATACCAAATGAAACCTTGTTTTTTGAGGAAATAAATATGGTGTTATACTTTGTTTATTTTATTGTCTTTTTTTGGCTGTTTTGTTACTGTTTTAAGTTTTAAATAAAACTTGAGTCGGTGAGCATCATTTGTTTAGGGACAGTCCAACGAGTCCAAATTAAGGAGGTCTACTTTAGAGGTTTCTTTATGTGGAATTTTTTAATGCATCCTTAATTACACACTAATAAATACTAAAATATTTTTTAGATTTTGACGATATATTTCTGAACGAATCTAATTCACACATTTTATTTGTTTTTGATATGCAAATGTTGAATGTTAGCTAACTCATATGCTTATTTTTATTAAGATGTCAAGATATCTGATCATAGAGATTTTGTTTTTATGACTTTTGCGGCGAAATTGAGGAGGTTTAAACATAAGTTTTTTTTTTTTGTGATTCAGCAAATTTTGAAAACTTTTTGAAAATGCATTTTTGAAATAAATTTATTCATAAAATTAGAATGTAATTAAAAAACGAATGAAATTTATGTATTAAGTGCGTTCAGAGATACATCTCTAAAATTTAAATAATATTTTAATATTTATGTGTGGTGTCTAATTAAGATATATGGTACATTATGAAATTTTCTATTTTTTTTTTGCTACCGTAGTTATACTTGACAACCCCATATTACAATAAAACCAATGTTGCTCTTGTGAAAATTTAAGAAAAAATTCTGACAAAATATTCGACAGTACATTCCAAAAATCAGGAAATGTTTTGGGATTTTTTGAATTTTTTGAAAACATTGGTAATTCATTTTTGATGGGCGAAAAAATCAATATTAATTTTATCGGATTTTGAAAACTTCAATAAAACTCATAGTTTTTTTGAAAAATTCGAAAAACTCATAGATTTTTTAAAAATTCAATAATGTATTTTAAAAAATTCGATAAAAAAGTCATAGTTTTTGAAAAATTTAGTAGTTTATTTTAAAAAATTCGGAAAAAATCCATAGATTATATGAAAAATTCGGTAAAAACTCTTAAATTTTTTTTAAAATCCGGTAAAAATTCATAGATTTTTGAAAAATCCGATAAAAACTCATATTTTTTTACAAATTCAGATAATGTATTTGAAAATTTTGATAGTTTCAATTCGATAATTTTAAAAAATTCAGATTGAAATTTACATGTCCCTCAAAAATCTAGTAAAACTCATGAAATTCTTTAAAAATCTGATAAAAACTCAAAATATTAAAAAACTGAAAAACACACGATGTTTCAAAAACGTAAAAAATATATTATAGCAAAAGCATAGAGGATGTGGGGGTGTTAAGTAAAATTAAGGGTGCCAGCAAATAAAACGTTTACATTGTTGTTGAATATTACAAACGCATTTTTATTTTAATGGGCTATTAACAGCACATCCTTTTGAAGAGCATCCTACCTTTCACTTCCACTTTTACATTATGAAAGACGAAATCATTATGAAAGACGAAATCATTATGTGTTTTAACCTTAAAATAATAAAAAATAAAAATAATAAAAAATAATATATATATATATATATATATATATATATATATATATATATATATATATATATATATATATATATATATATATATATATATATATATATATATATATATATATATATATATATATATATATATATATATATATATATATATATATATATATATATATATTTATTTATTTAAAAAATTGCATCCGTATTTTTTTTAACCACTATTTTTACTTATATTTAAGCTAAATATGCAGAAAACTTAGTTAATATATTCTTAGTTGCACCATGATAAAATATAGATTTTCTTTATAAACTTCTGCATATTCACAGGAAATATATATAAAAAAAGTTGCATCAGTGTTTTACAAACTATATATTTTTACCAAATATACAGAAAACTTAATTACAGACAAAATATAAAATTTAAAAAAAAACTATTACAAATGTTTCAAAACTAATTTATTTAAATTTTAAATAATAACTTATGCATATTTTTCACATATTTATAAGAAAAATACGGGGAAAAAATTGCTTATATATATATATATATATATATATATATATATATATATATATATATATATATATATATATATATATATATATATATATATATATATATATATATATATATATATATATATATATATATATATATATATATATATATATATATATATATATATATATATATATATATATATATATATTAGTAACTCTATTAGCAAGACTTGAAAAAATTTAAGTCGAATTCTCTAGTCAATTGTGTATATATTTTTTTCCTTGCGGTTTTTTTCTCTCCATATATAGCCGTTTTGACTCATTCTACACGAAAGTTCATTAGAGACAATTTAATGTGATTGTCCGTGATTCGTACGACCTCTTAATGGTGATTGGCAATTAGAATTGATTGTCCAAATCTCAGCCCATAATGTTCTTAATCAACTATAAATGCATTATGTATCATATCTCAATCAGATATAGCCTTGTGTTTGCCTTAGGTCAACATGACCAACCTAGACCATCAGTTCTTTCAATTCGAGTTTGTCCTTTTAGACAAGTCACGAATCGAGGCGAGCTCCATTGGTATGGGCTGAATCCGGCTTGCTAGAGGTAACCCGGTCCAAGAAACCAGACATGTACACATCCTCCCAAGCATGAGTCATGTAAGGGAGAAATGATTTCTTAAGACCTACCAAGAAACAAGACATGTACATAGCCCCACAAGCATATTTTTTTAAGGGAGAAATGCTTTTCTAAGACCTCTCAAGAAACTGTACATGTACACAATCCCTCAAGTATGAGTAGCTTAAATGCTTTCCCGAGACCGAGCGATGATTATCTTGTGTGTCTTAACGAACGCTCTTTTTTTGGACAAGTTTGTTATATTTTCCTATATGTGGCCAACTAATATTTGTTGGTCGTTCGAGAGTTCCTTTTACCCTAGTTGTGATGATAGCCAAAAGTCTTGGAAACAAGAGAAAGTCATGACTTGTCCCTACTTCCTACAATCCAAGAAAAGTAGGCTCAATCCTCATTTTGTCTGCCATAAGCTTCAATGTTTTTTAATTTTTTCATTTCTTCATTCCATCTTCCACCTTTTTAGAAAGTATATTTGTGCCACTCTCCCATTTCTACCTTGAATCCTTGAAAAACACTCACGACCAAGGTAATTAAAATCGAATCGAACATTAAACTGATATAGATAGGGGCGACAACGGTCTTCATTGAAGAAGCCTAGCAAATATTGCTTCAAGGGGCGACAATGGTCTTCGTTCATGAAACCCACCAAATATTGCCTCAAGGGGAAGAAAGGGTATCCGTTCATGAAGCCCAACATACAAATATTGCCTCAGAGGGCGACAATGGTATTCGTTCATGAAGCCTGACAAGATAGAATATTCAGTGAAAATATTCTTGTTGGGAACAAATCGCTCGAGATTTTTTATTAGGTACATAATCATAATGTTTATTAAAGAATTGCAAGTAATCAAATCAACAAACAATTCAACTGTAATAATATTTTAGATGGAGAGCATTCCAGATTTTGGGCAAGAGTGGGCCTTTTAACCCCTCCAGCTTGTATACCCCGTGATAAAGCTTCTGAAATATGTGATATTGTCTCTTTCAGTTAGGTTGTAGTTTTCCCTATTGTGCGAGTTAAACCAATTCTTTCAAGTCCAGGTCGCTTTCTTGCATTTCTATTGGCTTAAATTTGGAGTTATATCTTCTGGAGGCTTTGTGTTTGGCCATGGATTCTTGGACGTGGGAGACTTCTCTCAATGATCAGGTCTATCGCACACTTCAAGCCTACTTTATTGGCTTTTTCATTAAACTGGTATTGTCACCACGAGGGTGTGTCGATCTCCACAAGTATCATGGCACACAATTCGTAGACCAGGGAAAACTGAGTTTCCTTTGTGGTGGAGTGAAGAGTAGTGTAGTATGACCACAATATCTCATGGAGAAATTCTTCCCATAATCCTTTGGAATCATCATGCTTTTTCTTGAACCACTTAAGGATTACTTTTTCTGGTGACTCAGCCATTCCATTGGCTTGTGGTGCATGACTGATACAAACTTTGTCTGTACCCATTGGTCTTTTCAATAGTTAGTGACCATGGCACTACAGAACTTGATCTCATTGTCATAGACGATAGCTACAAGTAATCCATATCTACACATAATTTTCTAACAATAGAAATGACGAACTCTCTCAGTTATGATCTTAGAATCAACTTCAGCTTATATCCATTTGATGAAATAGTCGTCTCCTACTATATGGAGTTTAAGTTGACCTTGTGTCAGTGGGAATGTGCCCAAGATGTCCACGCCCCACTGGTAGAAAAGTCATGGCAAATTCATCTACTAGAGAAGTTTGGTTGGGGCATGTTGAAGGTTAGCATGTCTCTAACATTGATCACACTTCTTGATGAAGGAGATTATATGCTTCATTAGGGTAGACTAATAGTACATCACCCTTAACAGTTTGTGGGTGAGTGGTTTTCCACCAATGTGACTATTGTAGGATCCTTTATGTACTTCAGCTAGTACCAGGATGATTTTATGCTCGCCTAGGCATTGTAGTATATGAGAACCTCGTCCCATCTAGTAGAGCTTTCTAGAAAGTAGGTTGTATTTTGAAAGCCTTTTTTCGGAGTCTTCTTGCTTCCCCTTCGTCTGGTGGTAGTTTCTCAGGCTGCAGGTAACACAGTATGAGCAAATCCAGCTAGACTGCCACTTCCAAGGAATATACCTCTCCTAACTCAATGATTAGGGAGGCGAGGGTCTTCTAGATAACTTTGCTTTTAAAACCTGTTGTCTTAGACGTGGCAAGCTTAGACAGGAGGTATGCTTTAAGGTTTTGTTTGTAAGGG